AGAAACATTCAACAATAACTGCACATTTTAAAGTATTATCTTTATTTTATAATGAAAAGTTAATATATATTTTGTCATTACTAAATTTTCTAGAAAGCTTTGATTTCCTATCTTGATTATATAGTGTTTAATAACAAAAAATTTACTGGATAGTTTGTGGCATAAAAAAGTTAATTTACAACGTTGCAATATATTAAAAACATTATTTTAAAAAACATTTCATAAGCACTCCAGAATGATTACTAAGGTGATAATCCAGCAGGTGATATCTGACAATTTTTTTGTTCATATTCTAATACATTGACACATTGCCCAAAAAGACATTTATTGCGATTGGTTATATAAGGAATTTTTTTCTAAAGAAAAATTTTTTCTGGGTCTGATTTGACATAGTTTAAAGATTTTTTGTTATTATAATTGAAGTCAGGTTACTCATTTAAGAGAAAAAATTCGCTGTTTTTTCATAATAGTAATTGTTCTTTGTTAATTTTACGTGTTTACCTTACTTAAAATTAGAGTAAATTTTATTAAAAATTATGTTTTATTTAGTGTTAATACCATCGAAAATTTTTCAAAAATAATAAAATATTGTTTAAAAAAGCAATGATAAACATACACTTTAAAATATTATTATTAAATAATAAGAAATGCAAAATAAAAATGTTACACAGTGTAATATCATCACTTGATGGAATTGCACCTCGAATCTCTCGGGTAATAGCTAAGTGCACTCATTAAATAAGCCACAGAGACATACAACAGTAACGGTTCATTTGAAATATTATATTTATTTTATAGTAAAAAGTTTATAAATTTTTGTTACTACCAAATTTTTAAGAAAGCTTCGTTTTCCTATCTTGTTTATATATTGTTTAAGAACGAAAAATTTACTGGATAGTTTGCAGCATAACAAAGTTATTTAAACCATGGCAAATTTTTAAAAACTATTTTCAAAAACATTTCATAATCTCTCCAGAAATGATTTCTAAATTGATAATCCAGCGAGTGATATCTGACATTTTTTTTTGTTTGTATAGTAATAATTGTCACATTGCAGCACAAAGATATTCAATTTGACTAGCTAAAAGAGGAATTTTTTCTATAGAAAAATTTCGACTAGGTTTGATTTGACATTGTTTAAAATTTTATTGTTCTTATAATTGAGGTCAGTTTAATCATTTAAGAGAGAAAAAGTTCGTTGTTTTTTAGACAAATAGTTGTTGTTTGTTAAATTCCCGTTTTTTCCTTATCTATAAATAGATTTTATTTTATTAAAAATTATGTTTATATTTAGTGTTAATACTATAGAAATTTTTTGAAGATAATAAAATATTGTGTAAAAAAAACGTAATAATAAACATACACTTTAAATTATTTATATTAAATACCAGGAAATCAAAATTGAAAATATTTCACAGTGAATTATCGTCACTGGATGGATTAAACCACCAACCTTTCGGTTAACAGCCGCCCTTACTAACTAATTAAGCCACAGAGTCTTTCAGCAGTAACGGCACATTTTAAACTAGTATCTTTTTCTTATAATAAAAAGTTTATAATTGTTTGTTATTAAAGAAATTTATAAGAAAGCTTTGATTTCCCATTCTGCTTATATATTGTTTAAGAACGAAAAAATTACTTGATAATTTGCAGCATAAATAGCTTAATTTAAACCATTGCAAATTTTAAAAAGCATCATTTTCAAAAAGATTTCATAAGCGATGAAGAAATGACTAGTAAAGTAATAATCCAGCGTGTGATATCTGAAAATTTTTTTGTCTATATTGTAATATATTGTCACAGTGCACAACAAAGACATTCATTGTGATTAGCTAAATAAGGAATTTTTTTTCTATAGAAAAAATTTTTTTGAGTTTAATTTTCCATAGTTTCAAAAATATTTGTTATTATAATTGAAGTCAGGTTAATCATTTAAAAGAGAAATAATTCGTTGTTTTTTCGGAACAATAATTGTTGTTTGTTAAATTTACATGTTTCCCTTACTTATAAATAGAGTTCATTCTAATAAAAATTATGTTTTTTTAGTGTTAATACTAAAAAAAATTTTTTGAAGATTGTAAAAAAATTGTTTAAATAACGCAATCATAAACATACACTCTAAGTTTTTTAGTATGCAATATCATCACTGGGTGGATTTGAACCACTAACCTTTTCATTAACAGACCAACGCTGAATTTTTCGTCGATGGCTAAGTATTTGTCGATTAATGAAAGGAAATTGTTGCCATTGTTTGTGTCCACGTTTTTGCTAAATGTAGGGTTGTACCAAATTATATTTTGTCCATGTCTGTCTTTTTGTTTTGTACTACAGTCTGACTCAAATTTTAGTGTGTTTCGGTGTCCGTTTTCGTCGAGTGCTTTTTGGTATGGTGCAGTTATTTGGCGAAATGATGCTTTGTCAGATGATAGGGATGATAGATGATTGTTGATGGTGATGGGTATGTTATTTGTTGTGGTTGGTGGATGGTTGCTTTTGTTGTGGACACACTGAAGAGAAGTGTTGTGTTTTGTGTAAGGTTGATGCAGTAGTAGTATTTTCGTATGGTAGTCACACCTCCATGTGTGTCTCATTAAGCCAGCTTACGAAGTCATCATCTGCTTAATACACTGTTGCATAGCCGCCTTCATTGTGTGTGAACGGACATTGCAGGATGATTTGGTCCATATTCTGGTTGGTGGCGTTACATCATGGGCAATTTGGCGAGTCTTTGTAGCCTAATCGGTATAGGTTGTTTGCTTTTCTGCCCTGTTTCGATCTTGTTCGGTTACAAGTGCTCCATTGCTTACGAGTTAGCTTGTGGAAACCAGGGAGAAGGACATTTGTGGGATTTTTAATTAGATAAGTATACATTGGCTAATTTTTGGATCATTGTTACTTCCATGTATTGTTGAGGTCAAACGATTCAATCTTGAAGTTCTGAAAAGATTTTTGTGATTTAAGTCTCGAAGTACTTGGGGCACGATTTATGATCGTAACTTGCAAACAGTAAAGAATATTTTTAAATAAAGTGTAATCCAGACAACACACACTTTATGAACGAAAGACAAGTTTTAAGATAGGCCACTGCAACAGAAAAAGCCAGTTTATCAAACTAAATTATATGTTGACGAAGTAAAATAAAATTAAAACGTTATAAAAGGCAGCTGATGATGTAAATTCTGAAATATTTTTCTATTATGAAGTTGAGCAAATAGCGTTCTTAATACTTAACACGGCATTCAAGCAAAATTGTGATTTTCAGAGTCACTGTTTAAAATGTGGCATTCACAAAATATCCATGATGAATTGAATGTTATCTTTTCTTGAAGATTGGGAAATAACGACAAAATACAAAACAGTAAATTTGCAGAAACTGTCACCAATACTGCGTCGTTTAAATCTTCTCTTTCTATTGCATTGTATTAAGAATTTAAGGACATGAGAATTGCCTTCTATGTGCATCATGATTATCTAATGTTCTTTTCTTAACGTTTATTGATGGATTTAAAAGAGCATCATTATCGTGGGGACGTTGTATATCTATAATGAAACCAAATAATAAAGCCCTTATAAGCGCTTTGATATGATTATCCAAAAATTTGTACACATTGTGCCACTAGAAAAATAGAAAACTGTTTATTACCGTAAAAAGACTGTTCATCAAATTTGGTAATCTAGCGCATAGGGTTTGAACCATGTTTTACTTATTACAATAAATAATTATGGTCCAATACGTGTTGTGCCATCTCCTTCGCAAAGCTCTGAAATAAATTTATAGTAGATTCCGACAACGATCCATGTTTGTAACTTGCAAACAGTAAAGACTAATTCCAAACTGAAGTGTAATCCAGACAAAACACACTTCTTCAACGAAAGACTACACATCAGATAGGCCACTGCTGTAGAAAAAGCCAGTTTATCAATCTAAATTATATGTTGAGGAGGTAAATTGAAATAATAACGGTATAAAAAGCAATTGATGAAGTAAGTTCTGAAATATTATTCTATTATGAAGTTGAGTAATTAGCTTTCTTAGTACTTAACACGACTATCAGGCAAAGACGTTATTTTCTGTGTCGCTGATTAAAATGTGGTAGTCAGATAATATCCATGCTGAATTGAATATTAACTTTACAGGAAGATTGGGATAAAACGACAAAATACAAAACAGTAAATTTGCAGAAACTGTCACCAATACTGCGTCGTTTAAATCTTCTCTTTCTATTGCATTGTATAAGGAATATAAGGACATGAGAATTGCCTTCTATGTGCATCATGATTATCTAATGTTCTTTTCTTAAAGGACATTGGCAACGAAAATTTTTTTACATACGTTTATCGTAGATAGATATGGAATACTTAATTTCATGTTTTCGTGTCTCTTTTGAATTTTGCTGTTGAGAAAATTTGACTAAAGTTGAATCCTTATCCGCCATTTTCGAAAAAAAAGCCTTATGCTAAATTATGCCGGAATACATTACTGACGTCATTGGCTGGTATCAACTGAATGACACAACATAAAATAATAGTATTGTAATAAAATATAGCACATTAGTTTACTGGAATTTTAAAACAAAAACAACAGTCGGCGGTTGTTAAGATCAACAAAAGTTGTGTAGTTTATCACGCTTATATACTTTTCCAATATTTAGTCGTTATAAGACGTAGAAACGTTTATTTTAGCAGATCTTACAGCTAGGCTTTGCCGACTTACCAAGTGTAAGCCCAGACAACAACAAGCGCGTTTTATACACTGCACATTTCGTGCAATAGAAATATTTCATTTTCTCATATTACAAACCTGTGACCAACTAAAGAGTTATACGTTTAATTTATTATTTGTATACATAAGAATCTTTGAAAGATTATGTAGTTTTATATAGGTGATAAGCTCTCAGCCGCTTATCCCTAACGTTTTACGTGCGTGTTTGCGTGCACAATGTACAAGTACACTTTTAAATTAACTTTAAAACTTATGAATAATACAAGTTTTGGGTGGATCACTCATGCATTTTGCTTTTGCGCAGTTTGTGACAAACCTTCGACAATGATATGGCATCGCAATTGCAGATAATAACAAAGAACATCAAAGAGCGTCTGTGTAAGACACTAAATTTACGGTCTTTCGTGATAACAAGATGCCGACACACGTCTATCTTTAACACACTTTCTGAGAGCATATTGTCCCTAAATTCTTGGTGTGTTGTCAAGCAATTTACTCCTTGAGTTTCTGTTTGGCCCAGCAAAGCCCCATACTCATCGTATTCAAGCGCTTTTTCGTGGCAACAAAAACACTCGATTGCCATTTTTGACAAAGTAAAATGTCCACACTTACACTAACTAAGATTTTGAAGGCGCCAAGCATTTGTTTTCTCAAATTCAGCATGTATTTCATCCTCCGACGAGGACAAATGCTCTGCTCACTCTCCTGTTCGGAACCGCTTTCTTCACTAGTTTCGGCCTTCACTTCAGGTTCATATTGATAGGGCAGAACCTCACCCGGTTGATTTTTGTGTATGCCATCCATTACAGCAAAAAAATCCTTAAAATATGCTTTAAATGTGTTGTAACACAGTCAATCACAAAGTATATTGTATTGTTGTTTCGACTGCTCACCAGCCAATGACGTCACTACCACTCGAGATAATTTTATCAAAATTTTATCCAAGATGGGGCAATTTATAAAACTTTTGCTGCAAATATCTCAGCCACAAAATATTTTTGAGAAAAAATTTTGCTATTTTAGTTGTTAGACATCACAAAGGTTCAAAAATATGCCATAAAAATTTTCGTTGCCAATGTCCTTTAACGTTCATTGATGTATTTAAAAGAACGTCATTATCCCGAGAACGTTGTATATCTATAATGAAACCAAATAATAAAGCCCTTATGAGGGCCTCGATATGATTATCCAAAAATTTGTACACATTGTGCCACTAGAAAAATCCAAAACAATTTATTACCATATAAATACTGTTCATCAACTTCGGTAATTTAGAGCATAGGGTTTAAGCCATGTTTTACTAATTACAAAAAATAGTTATGGTCCAATACCTGTTGTGCGATGTCCTTAGCAAACCTCTGAAGTCATTTTATAGTAGAATCCAACAAAAATCCATGCTCGTAACTTGCAAACAGTAAAGAATAATTCCAAAATGAAGTGTAATCCAGACAAAACACACTTCTTGAAAGAAAGACTAGACTTAAGATAAGTCATTGCAATAGAGAAAGACACTTTATCAATCTAAATTATATGTTGAGGAAATAAAATGTAATTAAAACGGTATGAAAGGCAATTAATGAAGTAAATTCTGAAATATTTTTCTATTATGAAGTTGAGTAAATAGCTTTCTTAATACTTAACACGGCATTCAAGCAAAATTGTTATTTTCTGAGTCACTGTTTAAAATGTGGCATTCACATAATATCTATGATGAATTGAATGTTATCTTAACATGAAAATTGGTAAATAACGGCAAATACAAAACAGTAAATTTGCAGAAACTGTCACCAATACTGAGTCGCTTAAAACTTCTCTTTCTATTGCATTGTATTAAGAATTTAAGGACATGAGAAATGCATTCTATGTGCATCATGAATATCTAGTGTTCTTTTTTTTAGTGTTCGTTGATGGATTTAAAAGCACATCATGATCGTGGGAACGTTGTATCTCTATAATGAAACCAAATAATGAAGCCACAATGAACGCCCCGATATGACTATCCAAAAATGTGTAAGTATTGTGCCACTATAAAAACAGAAAACAGTTTGTTACCATAAAAAGACTGTTCACCAACTTTGGTAATCTAAAGCATAGGGTTTCAGCCATGTTTTTTAATTACAATGAGTAATTGTCATCCAATACCTGTTGTGCGACCTCCTTCCCAAAGCTCTGAAATAAACTTAGAATAATCTCCTACTATAATCCATGATCGTAACTTGCTAACTGTAATGAATAATCGAAAAAATGAAGTGTAATCCAGACAAAACACTTTTCTTGAATGAAACACTAGACTTCAGTTAGGCCACTGCAATAGAAAAAGGCAGTTTATCTTAAAGCCGGTTCCTGCGAGTGTTTGTTTTGGGAGTTCGGATTGATCAATTTCAACGATATTTCCCAAATTCCCTACCTTCCTTTGCTGCGAAGGAATGCTTGCTGTTTGCACTTGCAAACTTTGTAGAACCCAAGACTTTGCAATTATTGACTAGTTTTTTCATAGTTTTGACACCGTTACCATTGTGCTTTCGTCGCCGTGTTATTCGAGTTCGATATCGGCTTCTTCGCAGCCAGCGTTAAGACTTGCCGACGCTCGCTCTTCTTCCATTTGAGATTCTATAGCCTCTATTTCAAATTTTTAGTCTGCTATTTTCCTTTGAGGTTCATGTTGTTTTGTTAACTGATTTTTCTTCAGCTGTGCAACGGCTAACTTTTCCTTACTTCTGGACACTCCTGAAGACTTGAGCTGTGGCTTCTTAATTTACTTGCTGAGCTTCTACTTGTTATTAATGAAGGACAACTAACATCTTCTCGTCGTCACTGCTTTCCTTTGCCATAATCTGATCATTTCATATAGATGCACCTATTTTGCCATCTGTTCTTTGTAGCTACAACTTGCCATATCTATGTCTTCTTCCTGGAACGCTAATTTAAGGTATTCTTTGTGAACGTCATAAAACGCCTTCCAATTGTTTTTTGTTCTGTACAAAGCGGTAAATCGTACGGTAGTCACAATCACTTCCTTTAAATGTGTATTTTTAAAGCCCTGTTACTTTCAAAGGAAAACAACTTAACTGAGGCTATAACAATGATGAAGAAAGTTATCATTTTGTTGGTAATGATATGTGCTTTATGTTAAATTCTCCATGTTCAAAGTTCAAATTAATATTTACTGGCGGGAATGCCTTGCGATTGGCAATATCAAGCCAGGTTCCAGTGTAAGTTCCAATCAATGGTTCAAACATATATAACAAAAAAGCTACCTGATTATATGATATTTTAATCTAGAGCTTCAGTGAATTGAAACCAAACAACATTTCAAACCGGCTGAGACAACGTTACATTGCGACTGATTCCTTATTTGAAGAGCATGCATTTGAACAACAAAACCAATTTCTGTAAGTAATTCGAGAGTTAAATTGCAAAAACATGCAATTTGCTACTGGATGATATTATTAATTGAAACACGATAAAACAGAATTAAAATTGTCAATTGTTTCCTATTATTAAAGCAATATTAGATCCGTTTTCCTGTTCCCTTTGCGAATATAAAAAAGAAGAACACCTTGCAATTTTATTGAGTTAAAGTTTTTTGGTAATTTCCGTCTAACTGAAACGAAAATGGCATTAAATGTTTTAGATGGAAACCAAAGCAATATAAAAAATATATTGTTAAAGGGCTATGCTACTGAAATTGGTTTTAAAATATATAACTTGTGGAAAAAGACTCAGGGCTGTGGTTTTGATCACTCATGTCAATAACGACATGAATGTTTGATGATGCCAAACGAGGAAAGGGTATCGATATGCTTTGATGATGCAGTATCAGAAATTGATGAGGAAGAAGTCATGAAATCCCTCTTTGATAGCTTACAACACATGATTCACATAGTAAATGGGCTAGAACTTATCAAGTAAACTTGTAATGATCAGAGAAAAATATTTTTCACAGAAAAAAAAAAAATTAAAATATTAGAAGTTGATATTCTTAAATAAATTTTATTGAATAAAACATTTTTCTTAAAGAAACTAGCAACGACTATACTGAAATAAAATGAAATCTATCTCGCTGACTAATCCACTCTATCAATCTTCAAAAGATAAAGAATTATAAAAATACATACTAAAAAAATCTTCTAGAAATCTGTCGACTTCTTTGTCAAAGCAACTAGAATATAAAGCATAGACATAACATAAAAAAAATTTAGAACATTTACCAAGCATCTTAATTATTTGACTTTCAAGCAAATAGGGCACTTGAAAGGCGAGCCCTCAACAAGCCTCTCCTCCATATCAGAGAGGTGCACTTTATGTCCACAGCTTGGCGTGCATATAGCCCATAACTTACAGTCTTCACTGAAATATAATTCCAATTCAACTTACTCAAAATTGGGGTTATGCTCTGCGACGTTGCCACGACTCTAGCATTTTTCGGTAAAAATATCTTTAACCAAACACAATCGGAACGTACCGAAACATATATGTCGAAATTTAAAAACCCTTCTCTCAAAGCGCCATCGGGTGGCTTGAATTTGAAACTGCAAAATACAGATCTCAATGAAACTGCAAAACACAATGTCAATGATATCTAAAAAATTAACGATTCGGAATTAAGTAAAGTGTACTATGTCGGCTGCTTTTGTGAAGAAACAAACACTATATTTTCTTTTAATGGCTGTCTCTATCATGCATGCCCATCTTGTTACGATTTAAGAAATGATCATCCCTTTTTAATGAGAAACAGGTGGCTGACGTATTTGATGAAACAATTAGACGAATAAGTTGACTTTTGCAATTGGGCTACGAGGTTAAGACAATTTGCGAAAATGACTATTGCAACCTTAAGGAAGCGAACGAAATGAAACATTTTTTTGGATACAAATGACATTATGACGAATCTTGGACTACATGATGCGTTTTTCGGTGGCGGAGTCAATGGGTTTCAGCTTTTTATGGATGCCTAACAAGATGAAAAATTGAATATGTTGATTTTGCATCGTTGTATCCCTACGTTAACAAAACAAACGTTTATCCTATAAGTCGTCCAACAATTATTCGAGAGAATTTTGAAACAATTTCGACTTATTTCGGACTAACACAATGCAAGGCTTTAGCACCCAGAAATTTGTATCTTCCAATTCTACCTTCACGAATAAAGGATAAACTCTTTTTCTTTTATGTAAACAGCGTGTTATACGAGACTCTTCAGTGTGTACTCACTAGGAAAATGAGAGTACCTTTTTGGTGTACTTTTACCACAGTTGAAGTGATGAAAGCTATTGAAAAAAGATAAAAGATTATTGAAATTTTTAAAATTTGGCACTTTGAAAACACAAGTTCAGATTTGTTTTCAGATTATGTGAATAGTTTTTTCCGTATAATGCAAGAGAGTTCAGGATTTCCAAGTCGTTTACAAAATCCCGAGGACAGACAGAAATGCGTGGCGACTATTATAAAAACGAAGGAATACTGTTAAGGCATGATAAAATATACTACATTCCAGGTTTAAGAGCATTGGCTAAGCTATGTCTTAACAACTTGAGGAGTAAATTTTGTCAAAAATACAATTGACTAAATACAGAATTCATTAATGATCCGCTATATTTCTACAGACGTTTGAACGGGGCCGACATTGAAATGCCCAATCTTTGCATCTTGAATGATGATTTAGTCGAAACTGTCTTTAGGAAAAAGCATGAGTTCGAAGTATAAAATAAACTAACAAATATCTTCATAGGAATTTTCACAATTGCATGGGCTATGTTACAAGTTTACAATGTGATGGGTCTGTTGCAGCATAATCTTCTATACGTAGATACCATAGCTGTATATATGTAAATAAGCCCGGGATCCAAGGCCACTCCAAGGGGATTACCTGGGTAACTTAAAAAACGAAATCACTCAAGAACATGGGGTAGGTAGTTACGTTACAACATTTGCATGCGTGGGTCCAAAAAATTATACGTACGTTGTAAATAATGGAAAAGACATTGTTAGATACAAGGTTTTATTTTGAATTTTAAAAATAGCCAAATTCCTAATTTTGATTCTACTCTACAAATAATACGTAACTATGCACGTTCATATGTCGAAAATTTAAAAAACAAAATAGATGTTGCAAATAATAGTAAAATAACACGAGAAAAAGCGACCAGTTGGCTGGTCAACAAGAAAGAAGTAAAGCAGTATCAAATCGTCTACAACAAAAGAATAATTGTCAACTCTGAGGAAGACACAATACCATTCGGATATTATTGCTCACCAGTGTCTAACTCTGCTTGTCCGTCTGTAAAGCACATTATACGCCTTTCTGATTCAATGCTTTATACAATGTTACAGCACACTGCACTAAGGTGTAGAGTAAATCATAGCTGTGTTGATGACAAAGCTAACGACTAGACATCTAGTGATGAAGAAATAGAAGACGTTTTGGTGTATAATGATGTTGTTAAGGATGACGATGACGATGACATGATTTTTGAATGAAGAAAACGCAAGCGATATAAGTTTATTGGAATTTCACAACGAGGAAGATATGGATTTTCAATCTGAGTAAGAAAATGATAAAACATTTATAAACGACATTGAAATGTCTGAAGATGAAAATCACGTTTCTTTTTGTCGAAGGTTTAAAAATAATTATTAATTTAATGCATATTGACATCGTATTAATATTTTCAAACATACATTTACAAAGTAGTTAATTCATGTCCATCATATTTTCAATGCTCAATTTATAACAATGATGAATATTTACACCCTCATCATTTTCCAACTGTCTAATATTTTTTGCAATTCAATCTTTGAGGTGGTGGACCATTCTTTTGCATTTGCAGGATAAACGAAGTACGTTCAATTTTGCATTTCCTCTGAGGACTGAGACACAATCCAAGGTTTCTAACATTATTTGTGCAAATAAAAAGTTGTGGAGTTTTTGACTGCTCATAATTCTTGAACATCCAATCAGCTTCTTGTTAATTAAGTATTTCACTTGTTTATAGAGCATCCTTAATTGATACATGCAAGATGGTATATAATCTGTTGTAAAACAATTCCGTTTCATTTGCAAGACAATGGACGTGCGTTTTAAAACACCAGCTAACTTTTATATTTGCGGAGGAAATGTCCCTTACGAAAATTATTAATAGGATGTTGTTAGTATTCCAATAGGAATATAAGATTCTTATAGGAAATCGTATAGGAAGGCAGAGTGAATTCATTTTTATTCCGATTCCGATAAGAAATATATTAAGAAAATGGCGGCAATTTTAAAGCCTATAGGAATATTTAAATTCCTGTAGGAAATCGTATAGGAAGGCAGATTCAATTAATTTTCGTTCCGATTCCGATACGATATATATTAAGAAAATGGCGGCAATTTTAAAGCCTATAGGAATATTTAAATTCCTGTAGGAAATCCTATAGGAAGGCAGAGTCAATTCATTTTCATTCCGATTCCGATAGGAAATATATTAAGAAAATGGCGGCAATTTTAAAGCCTATAGGAATATTTAAATTCCTGTAGGAAATCCTATAGGAAGGCAGAGTCAATTCATTTTCATTCCGATTCCGATAGGAAATATATTAAGAAAATGGCGGCAATTTTAAAGCCAATTGGAATATTGAAATTCCCGTAGGAAATCCTATAACAATCCGTAATTGGATTTGTTTTGCTATTCTGACTGGAAATCCTTTAAGAAAATAGTGGAAAAAAAACCTATATGAATATTCAAATTCTTATATGAAATCTTCTGGAAATGTTATTGGAAAAACCTATATAGCAATCGAAATATATAGGAAATGCTATTTATTTTTTTTCCAAAATTACAACTATGCTGGATTCTTCAGATATCTAATGCATGAATTAAAAGGAGCATTGTGGCATGGAGTGGTGGTTGTGTAAACGACAATGATAATGTCATCTCTTGAATCAAAGGCTGCAGATGCTTGAATTCTTTACCAGAATTTAAACAACAGCTTTACGAGCTGACATTGATTAAACTCCTCAAAGCAGAGCAACAATACATGTCAAAATTTAGCCATTAGATAATGAGTTTTCAGAACCATTACGAACAGCAACAGCACGTGATTGAAGAGGAATTGATTTTTGATTTCGCCACCATGGGCCAATTTCCAATAGGATCCTATATGAAGTTTTAATAGGTTTTTGGAGATCTGGTAGGAATTCTTATAGCAATAACTTGTATGGGAAAACTTGTAGGATTTCCAAAAGGATTACTTTGTAAGAATTCTTATAGGAATTCTTGTAGAAATTCTTATTTCAATTCGCATAGGTTCTTACAGCATCCTATAGATTATTCCCTTAGGCTCATGGGCCAATTTCCATTAGGATCCTGTAGAAAGCTTTAATAGGAATTCCTATTGATAATTTCGTAAGTGAAGCTAATCTGGTAAGAGCCATCTCGTTAGGTCAATGCTTTTTAATTTAAATGAGCTATTTAACCCAGTTACATGTAAAGTCATTTACTGCTACGGCGAACCTTGCAATTTGGCAAAATGCTTAAAAGGATACCGAATGTAATTTTGCTTAAAGGGTTTCCTGAAAACTTGACCGATATTTTGGAAAGATGTCAAAACGCTTTAGTCGTTGTAGATGAATTATATCAGAATGTTCTAATGATCAACGAATGACTGACTTATTCACCCGTGAGTCACATCATGGCGGGATATCTGTCATGTATTTAACGCAACATTTACTCCATCCGGGTAAAAAATCAAGAACGATAAGCCTTAACTCTCATTATATTATCATTTTCAAAAACCTGAGCGATTCTCTAGGTATTTCGATTTTGGCCCGTCAAATGTACCTTAAAATGTCAACTACCTTTTGGACTCGTTTCAAGACGCTACGAGTCGCACATACGTTTATCTCATGCTAGATTTACATCAATTAACCTCTGACAATTTGCGTGTCAGAACAAGCATTTTGCCTCATGAATAGCACATTGCGTATGTACAAATGCGATAAGCATCGACAGAAACACTCAGAAACGCATCATGTCGAAGCGAATGAAGAACTATATTCCTTACCTGCAAGTTCCAGCTAAATCTAAACCAAATGTTCGAAAGGTGATAATTGGACCCTCTAACGTTATTGTGTGCATATGTGAATGTGCTATCAATTTTTTAGAAGGAACTGTCCAAGTATCTGCTATTCAATGTGACTGTCGTCAAGGTGCAAAAAAAACGTGGGAGTGCTAGCCAACAAAAAAATCTCACGAGCAATGAAGAAAAAACTTTTGAATCAGAAGGCAGGAAGTGTATTGGGAAGTTTGTTCACAAAATGATACATGTCAAACGTATGATTCTTGTTCCTGAACATGTATTTAACAGATAAGAAAAGCAAAAAAAATTGAAACTAGTCCGATCATGATGAATATGATAAATATAGATTTGCGGCTCTCACAATTTTCTTTAACAAGACGGCGTGAGTGACGATCAAAGACAAAAACCTTTTAACGCAAACTTTGAACAATTCCTTAAATTGAAGCAACAGAAAGATATTCAGATACCCATGGCACACGTGGTAGACACTGTTTACGGGAATGGAAAAGCTCAATAAGCGACAATAAAATGCAGATATTAGCTGACTCTGTTCTTGTACAAAGTGTGCCACAAACTATGCGTGAGCAAGCGAAAGCAATATTGAAGCGTCTTAGAACACCCCCGAGTATAATGTCTGGGGACGGTTCTAGACAAGTCAAATTGGGGAGTCATCATTTCGCAATCAAACATAACAGATCTAATTAGTGATGCTGTGAGAGGAAAGAAAAATTTCAATCCTCAAGGGTCTAAAGAATTCTTTCGTGCTTTATCAAAAATAAACATTCCTCTAGATTTGAATAGGAACGATATGAGATGGAAGGAAGCTCAAATGGAAACTTCACCACGTGAAGAAAACGAAAAAGTTTATCCTAGTTCATTAAAAGTGAAATTGACAACGCCCAAAGCTTCCACTACACACAAGAATACTTAATTAAGTTGGTTAAGCTATTAATATGTTTTGTAAAGGATTTTTTGTTTAAATAAATATCGCAGTTGATATCAATTTCCTGATTGTTGTCAGTTAGAATATGTAAATACAAACGCAAGCAATTAAGTTACACAAAGAACTTTATTATTGATAATTAAACACTTCATTCTTTTACACATAAGTTTGTACTTGACTTATTTCCATCGTTCGAGATTACACAAGTTTCTATTTTTAAAATGTTTGTTTACAAAATTTGATACATTCTTATCGTTCTCAACAGTATTATCATCAAACATGCCTACAATTCTACTCATCTTATGGCCTCGCACTCTTTTGCTCTGATAAAATATACAATATTGTCCACATATATCGTTCCAAATACTGTGAAATTTGCGTGTATTAAAATCCCAATCATAATGTTTTAAATAGTCTCTAAAGAATTTATGATATATCTCTGAAAGCTATTTACGATATGTCCGTAGCTGTCGAAGAATTCGGTTCTTCGTTCAGACGAAAGGAAAATGTAGCCCAATGACTTGCAGGTTTTCCACTGATATTGGTTTTTGCTATAAGCCCAATAGGACAGCTTTTGATTACCTTAGGTAAACGATTGGCTGGAAAAACACCAAGAATTTTCTTGCTTGTAACAGGACCCGATCTCAAAGTAGATGATATTTGTGAGGTGTCAATTTAACCAATATAGTCATAGACAAAATTTCTTTTAGAGTCGATGTGGGTTATATTTTCAAAATCTCATAGCAGACAAGACTAACGGCATTAGTTGGTGCTGTTGAGAATTGTATGTCATTGGCAAGATTTCCTTTTTGCACTGTATTAAAATTTTCTCTCGTACTGCACATATCAAACGTCAAATCAAAACAGCTCAAAGCAAAGCCCTTTGTACTGTATTGATTTGACGCCTGATATGTGTACATTTGTGTAGGTTGATTTGTGACACCTGATATGTGTAGATTTGTGCAGAACCCTTTGCTTTGTACAATTTTGATTTGACACGTGATATGTGTAGATTTTTCGTCTGATATATGTAGACGTTTTTGATTTGATGCCTGAAACGTGAATTGTGATAGAAATGCTTCTATGTACCCAGGATTGTTACCAAACGACAGCTTGAAAGACTTCGATGGTAGGGATCTGCCGTTTACTGAAATGCCTAAGGAAGAAACGTTGAAATGCTGGAAATTTAATAGGTTCATTTTATAGGCACACTTCAATGCAGCGCATGCAACAAGACCAACTCAAGTGATTTCGGCACCAAACCGTTCAAAAGATTATCTTTTGCAACGATGGGATTCCTGATGGAATAATGAAACTTTTGCAGTCCACACGCGTTACAGGTTAAACGGATGTGCTTTTTTTCAGTGGAACTTCGCGAGACATAGCTTTACTAGGATTCACTTTTACTTTGCGAACTTTTTATAAAAATCCACCAGTTTCACTTCAAAGGCTGCATCGTTCTCCGTTGCCATTAGAGCGAACTCGTCACCAGTACGGTTCACTACCTCTTTCAAATCAACAAAGCTAAGCAGGAGGCGTTCACCGAAGAAAACATTACAAAATATGGTGCCTCCCACTTCGACAATTGCGCTTCCCGCAGTAAACTTACTTCGTGTTTTCAAGCCTTTGTTTGGACTGGCGTTTGTTGGGTCAGCAACTTCCATTTTTGAAGCTTCGTCTTTGTAAAACAACGCAGATGTCAGCTGGGATTGTTTAGATGATGGACCATAATTCGAAAGTGTATTGATATA